TTTTTTTTTTTTTTTTTGTGATATTGGGGATTAAACCTAGGGGTGCTCTATTGTAAGCTACACTCCCAGCCCTTTTAAAATTTTATCTTGAGATGGGGTCTCCCTAAATTTCCCAGGCTAGCCTTCACCGTGTGATCTTCTTGTCTTGGCCTCTGGAGTAGCTGAGATGACCTGTGTCACCATGCCAGGTTCACTGGCATTTTCAAGGCAAGTATTTCAGATGGGTTATGATCATCTCGCTGAATCTTCACAGCAACCACAGGAGGAGGACACTACCACTGTCCCCATTTGATAGGAGAAGCTGCACTTCAGAGTTGATGTCCATACTCTGCATGTGAGAAGTAAAAGAACCAGGCTTTGGTGCCTTAGCGAAAAGAGCCAGTCGTTTTGCTGGTCCCCTTAACAATGGTGAAGGTGCGGAAGGAGATCAGCAGCGCCCCACAGCCAGTAAGGGGCTGGGGTCCAACACAAGGGCCGCCAGGGGGCGCTACTGAGAGCGGATGGATCTGCCCTTTGAAGGCTGCTGTGTTGCTCTATGGTGCTGTCCTTCCAATTTCTTTCACCCACTTCTTAATACACTCAGGAAACAGATACCCACATGCTCACCCAAGCATCTGCCCAGCCTGGCTGGGGGCCCAGACCCTGTGGCTTCTGCCTCACTGAACCCCGGCACATGCTCATGGCGCGCGCTCCGAGCCCCTGCGCACGCCTCCTCCCCCAGCCTCGGGTTTCTGAAAGCCGCAGATGGACCCAGAGCGGAGCTCAGCCTTCCACTTCCCTGCCTGACTCGAGAAAGCCTCCAGGAGAAGGACACGACTTCGCCTTCTCAGTCAAAAGGAAACTGCAGCTCAGCCAGGGGAAAACGGCCAGATGACTGCAGGGAGTGACCAGGGAGAGAAAAGCCACCTCCAGCACTGCCAGCGGCAGCTGCATGGCCGCCTCTCTGCCTCTCTCTGTCCGCATCCTCGCTCCACCACCTCGCAGCCAGCAGCCTCCGGGACTGTGGAATCATGTGCAATTCCAGTTCTCCCAAGAAGCTATGAAGAACACCCCCCAACAATGACCACCACGCCATCCTAGGAAACAAGGAGACTCCAGTGTCTCGCCCCTTGCATTACAACAGCTGCTCTTTCCCTGCAGACAAAAAAAGGCATCGTTTATGTCATGTAATTCTCTTGAGGGAGTCTTCTCCACTACAGGGGGACTCTCGGTTACATTATCAGAGTGTGCTGGGAGAAGAGGCTGGGAGAGCCTCGCGCCACAGCTCACCCTCAAGCCAGGATAAGCGCTCCTTTTTTCCTGTTACGTCTATAACTGCATTCATTGGAAGAAAACGTTCACCCCTTAGAGAAAGAACAGGAAACCCTTTCCTGTTCACAGTGAACCCCCCCACCATGGGAGCCTTGCGCACCTGATTTAGATCAGATATGGAAGTGGACTTCAGGCCAGTGGTTTTCTAACTTTGTTGTACATGAAAATCACTTGGATTCTATAAAAAATAAAATAAAAATAAAATAAATCATGATCCTTAGCTCACACCCCAAGCCAATTACAGCAGAATGTCTGGAGGTGGGAGCCAGACAGCCTCACTGCTAAAGATCCCCCAGGAGACTCTATAGGCGCCAAAGCCTGGGGAGCATCGCCTTGGCGGGATCTGATTTCCCTCCCCCAAGTCCCTCACCCAGCACGGCCCAGACCCGAGACCTTGGTTGAGGACTCAGCCCAGCCCCGGCATCTGGTCTACCTGGGCTCAAGGTGCAGTAGCTCGAAGGACCTCTCACTATTCCTGTGATCATCTAGTAAGCCAAGCTTTGACCTTGGGAACCGGCTCTGAGGATCACACTTCTTCCCAACTTCCTTCCCTCGCATTCACAGGTTGTGGGGATTTGATTTTTTAAGAATACCATGGTGAGGAGGCTGGTGAGATGGCTCAGTGGTCTAAAGCACCTACTTAGAGCAAGCTTAGCAAAGCACAGGGACGGCGGTTCGATCCCCCAGCACCACATGCCAGCCAGCCCCGCCCCCCTGGTGGGCTGAGCTGGCCACACACACACACACACACACACACACACACAAATAAATAAAAAATTTAAAAAAAAGAATACCATGGTGTGCTCAGAAAGGACCGTGACATTTCCACACAGAATCTCATTTGATTATAGGAACCCATTCTGTGGATGAGATGGGTTAAATAATTTCCCTTCACTGCGCTCTTCTCTGCTGGTGCCCTGGGACTGCCACTATAAAATGTTAGTGCCTTAAGGCCTCGACCCATTTCCTAATGCTGCCTGCCAGCACACCTGCTCAGGGGCCAGCAGGGAGATGTCCTCCATGGAGCCCCCCACTTTCCCACTTCTCACCCCCACTGGTCTTACTATTTTGCTCTGAGCTTAACTTTTATTTATTAATTTTACAGGCAATGGGTACATAGAAGGTAAAGAGCTGGAAAACTTTTTCCAAGAATTGGAGAAGGCAAGAAAAGGCTCTGGCATGGTAAGCCCACACCCCCTCTGCCATAGTGGGGGTTTCTGTCACCCTGACCTATATGACCTTAAAACTTTGTCCTGTTATGCATCCAGCCAATAGACCTGGGGTCTCTGATCTTGACATTTAAAGTTTTTCTTTTACCTGTAAGGATTAAGATAAAACAGAATACTCCCCAAAAGCAGGTTAACTTAATATTCCCGGATGTCTGGGATTGAGGGGTGTAAGCACCGGGTTAATAAACCTCTCAAAACTGCACATGTATATTTCTGTGTATCCATGTGCAATATAAAAATTGCTTTTCCTAAGGACAGAGTCTACTGCCTCCCTAAGATGCTTTAGATGGCTTAAGACTCAAGATTGGATGCCCAGGAGGCCTCAAGTACCTGCATTCTAGACTAGAGCTTCTCAGCCTCTACTACTATTGATATTTGGGGCCAGATAAATTTTTGTTGTGAGAAGCTACTCTGTGCATTGTGGGAAGTTTTGTAGCACCCTTGTATCCACCTGTGGCTTGCAGCCACACTATCCTTCAAGTTCTGAGCATCAAAAATGTCTCACAGTTACCAAGTGTCTCCTGGATGGGAGATGGGGCCAGAATCATTCTCCCTAGAAAATCACTGTTCTAGACCAACTAAGACTGGAATCCTCACCGAGGACCTGGAAGAAAATGGAGGATTTTGCTGATGGCTGCCCTTGTGTGTAGAGATGTTGCAAACTTCTGAGCTAGCCCAATGTGACACAAGATCACATCCTCGCCCCTTAGTGACAGGAATGTTGTTTCTTTTGGTACCAACCTGGTTCCAGTGAATTTGCTGAAGCCTTCTGGAGGGAGATGTGTGGAATATTGAAAAGCTACGGTGATTGGAGCTGGTCTGCTGTGATTCCCACGGCTGGTTCAGGGACGTGGAACATGCTCTCCCCAGCAGCTCCCTTGGGGCCTTTGGGTGCCCTGTGCCCCACTGTGGGTCTGCAGGCCCGTGCACTGCTTATTAGCAGCTCTTCTGGAAGCAGTTAGAGGGATGAGTCATGAGTCCATCATAAGCTCTGGGTCAAACCTCTCAGCAGAACATCCCAGTGAGAAAGAGATCAAAGCCCTGGGCTTAGGAGGACCGACGGTGATTCATGCATTTGTTTATCAACAGTACCCTCATCATAGCCCTGGCCCCTGCCCCCATTACTAGGACAGTGAGGGCTTAAATTGATTCTGGGATCATGGAATGTGTTTTAATGAAGTGCTTTAAATGTAAAGTTCTTTGAGTCATTCCCTTCTTCCCCAGCATGACTCCAGGGTGATTTTCAAGTCTGTCCACCACAATCTCAACTACTATCATCCAGGGCTGGGTCTTAGGGCAGCTGCTATGGGGTAGAAAGATACTGGCCTTGGGGTTGGAGAGATGGCTCAGTGGTCTAAAGCACCTACTTAGAACAAGCTTAGCAAAGCACGGGGACCGCGGTTCAATCCCCCAGCACCACATGCCAGCCAGCCCCGCCCCCTGGTGGACTGAGCTGGCCACACACACACACACAATAAATAAATGTAAAAATAAATAAATAAATAATTTTAAAAAAATTTTAAAAAGAAAAAGAAAGATACTGGCCTTGGGAGCAGGAGCCAGGAGTTTGAATTCTGGCCCCACTTTACTGAGTGACCTCCTGAAAAGTCACTTTATCTTACACTCTGCAAGAATGGAGAGGCCCCTAATCTCACAGGGACCATGATAAAACTGAACTAGATTGACCCTATTTGTGATAAATGACAGCTTATTCTATGCACATTTGTTAATAAAAATAAACATTGATCAACAAGTTAAGATTGGCAAATTGAGACCGGTTCCAAAAGTGAAAAAGTGGTGGAAAGGATTCAAGACTCTTAGAACTTTTGTTAGCCCAGCCCTAGGAATTGTAACCCCCAACCAGAGGCCCATATGGGGTGGAGTCACCATTGATTAGGGATAGGAGATGCTCCCTAATGCAACTAATGCATCAGCAGCATCTCAAAGCAAGGGAAGGTTGGAGAACTTCAGAGTCTTGTATTTAAGAGAAGAAACAATGAGCTTAGTGGAACTTTTAAGTTCTTTGCCTCCCTATTGTCAGAATAATTGAGTGAACTCTTTAATCATTCCTCAGCTATGTGATGCTGATGTCATCCTCACATTCCATCAGGCACAGTAACAATCCCAGGTGTGGTACCATATGTCTGTCATCCCAGCACCCTGAGGCAGGAGGATGCCGACCAAGTTCAAGGCTAGTCTGAGCTGTAAATATATAGTGAGATCTTGTCTCAAAAAAACAAAAAAAAAATCAGAGTAAGAAATGTTATGGAATTGGTAGGCTTAAAAGAAGAAAGCAACAATTCGCAGCTGTGGTAGAATGCTTGGAAACTGTCTTGGGGACACCTGAGTAAGTTGGGTTCTATTCCACGCTGTCGCCTTAAAATGCTAGGAGCTCCCTTCTCACCTGTGTGGTGGGAATAAGTGCAGACCCTTCTCATGGAGCTGTGGGGGAATCCATCCCAAAGGCCAAGGGGAATGTTTGATCACATAGTACCAGGCACGCCTGTGGGTTATGCTTCCCTTTGAAAATGAAGAGACAAAGTCATGAAGAAGAGATGACTCAATTGGACTGGGTCGCAATGAGAAAAGTGACACAGTCCTGATCCCCCAGAGCATGGGCTTCACCTGGGTCTGTGCTGCATGTCAATGACAGATTATTCCTAACACTGCTGCACTGAGGCATATGACGCCTATGGGATGTGGCCAAAGACAGCCCTTTTCCCTTCCTACAGGTGTCAAAGAGTGACAACCTTGGGGAGAAGATGAAAGAGTTCATGCAGAAGTATGACAAGAACTCAGATGGGAAGATCGAGATGGCAGAGGTGAGCGCTTGTTGCTGGCCAGGGGCTAGTGAAAAAGGGCTCTCTGTCCCCTGTACCTCTCCTGGGCAACAAGTCTCCAGGGGCCTCAAGGAGGGGTGGCCTGAAAGATCCCCCACACCACTGCTTGGGCGGACCAAAGATAGGTGGGGACCAAAGAAAAGAGAAAGCTAGAGGAATGGGGCCTGCCCTCAAGGTCCAGTAGGTATTACGGACACATGATGAACCCAGCTTAAGGCAGGAGAGAGAGAAGAAACTGGTAATCAGGACAGTTCATGCCCCACCTGAAGGACTCTAAAGGCAAAATTATAAACTCAGCACAGTGATATATGCTTATAATCCCAGCACTCAGGAGCCAGAGGCAGGAAGATCCTGAGTTCAAGGCCAGCCTACGCCATATAGCAACTGCCTCAAAGGCAAAAGTACACAAAAATTATATGCACAATTGACACAGGTAATTTACAAACATAAATATATGATTTATATATTGCCTATAATTTGTACATAGTTACATATAGGCCTATATGTGCATATACACATGGACTCATGCTTACGTATAGATACATGTGTATTAAATACTTGGTCAACTGAGTGAGCAGGTAACAGTGTTTGCTACATTTGGGACTTGCATTTCTTTGGAACCAAATTGCAGAGGTATGAATTTGCATATAATAAACTGCATCTATTTACAATGCAAAATTCTCTACGCTTTGATTTTAGACCATGAAATCACTGTCCTAATCAAGGTACAGCCATACTCTCATCCCAAAATGTTCTTCCTGCCTAGGACAGCCCATTTCACCCCAGAATCTACCAATCATACCTAGATTCATTTTTACATTTTAGAGTTTTAGATACATAAAATCATCTACTGAGTGTTCTTCTGAATCTGGGTGCTTGCATTTAAAGGCACATCACAGCTGGGGAGGTGGCTCAGTAGAATAAGTGCTTCCCTGGCAAGCGCAAGGGAATGAGTTCAATCCCCAGCTCCACCAAAACAACAACAATACCAAAGCCGTAAAAAAAAAAAAAAAAAAAAAAAAGGCACATCACTTTCTCTCCATCCAGCTGCCCTTATGATAGGGTTGGGGTAACTGGAAGCACTTCCCTGAGTGGCTTCTCTTTCCACATTAGACTGCTGCCAGCCCTTTCTCCCAGTAGATGGCAAAATGTGCCTTCCACACTGCCTCTCCACTGGCCCTTTTCGTCCTCTCTGCAGGAAAGTCCTCTCTGCTCCCTGATGTCCCTCCTAAGCCTTGTGTTCTCTGTGTCCCCCAGCTGGCGCAGATCCTGCCAACAGAGGAGAACTTCCTCCTGTGCTTCCGGCAGCATGTGGGCTCCAGCGCAGAGTTCATGGAGGTGAGGCCAAGGCACTTCCTTCTCTCCGGCTGCTGGGACCCACCTGCCTTCCTGTGCAGATCCAGGTCTACCTTGGTGCCTCGTGTTGGCTCCAGGGAGGTGCAGAGCCACTGAGGGCACTACTACTCAAAACGTGGCCCATGGCCCAGCAGCATAGTATCATCTGGATGATTGTTAAACTCCCTGCTCCAGGGATCCAGAACCCAGACTGTAACAATTTACCCAGGTAGCACTCATATATGAAAGTACAGGGATGAGATGAAAAGTAAATTTGAGTCAGGGCAATTGGAAGATGTTGTGTACATGCATAGGGGAGTTGTTGGGGATGTGTGCTGGGCATTTGCATATGATATGGGAAACCCTGAAGAGAAGAACCTTGTTTTGTGCTATTTGGTTCCAGGATGTCCCACCCCTTGTGACATCATTTTTCATAATTTATTAGTACATGTTTTATGCAGAATATGTTTACATTCATTGTAAGTAGGTACCTGTACTTAATGTATCTTTTTTAAAAAATAATTTGAGAAGCAAATAGCAATAAGACAGCTTCAAAACCGATTAGTAGGACAGTTTCAATAATTAATACATTGCATATTGTTGTCTTCATAGTAGTTATTCATAGTACAAGATGCAGACATGATATCTTGTCCACAAACACTACTAGTACTAATCTTTCTATACATTAATACATTGCATATTGTCTTCATAGTAGTTATTCATAGTACAAGATGCAGACATGATATCCTGTCCACAAACACTGTTAGTACTAATCTTTCTATTCATTGAATTAAGAGAAAGAAGCTGTATATCTATCCCAGCTATTTTGAGTATACAGATAAAAAATGGTCCTTCATTTCTATACCCCTGTTTTGTTTTGTCAGAGAAGAGTATTCCAATGTCATTTAAATATTATAGGTGGGTGAATTCAGCAAAATATTCCAATATAGTTCAGTAGCCCATAATAGTAGTGGCTTATCCGTAGGACTGGCAATGTCAGAATTTGTTGACTTGAGCCTTTTATAGCTCAGCATATTAATATGGGTTTACTTTTTATATTTCGTTTTTATACTTTTCTGCTGGATGGTTAAGACCAAGATAGAGCAAGACCTATATAACAACAAATGCAGGGGCTGGTGAGATGGCTCAGTGGTCTAAAGCACCTACTTAGAACAAGCTTAGCAAAGCACAGGGACCACAGTTCAATACCCCAGCACCACATGCCAGCCAGCCCCGCCCCCTGGTGGGCTGAGCTGGCCACACACACACACACACACACACACACACACACACATAAATAAATAAATTTTTTTTTAAAAATGCAGCTTTTGTATCTGATAAGGTCAGTCAGATCCCTTGAGGATTTATCCTGAAACCCTGTACCGCAGTTTGTAGATTCTTTGTGTCAGCCATGTGGATGAGTCGCGGTCATTGCTTGACCAATTTGCCCTCTGTGAAAGCCTGAGAGAATGTTTTCTCTCTAGGTGAGTCTCCTTAGGCACACTCTACATCATCAATCACTTTCCTCTGTGGCCCCATAATCTCCTTGATCAGAAAATTTGGGACACAACAGAGTTACATGATATTACATGCACTTAATATATCTTTTTTTTTTCATTCCATCCCCTTATCTCCCTCCCACCTCCCTGTCTCTGGATTTCATCCCCATTTGCACATGATCTATCTCCCTGCTTTGTGTTTTTTATTTTGCTCTTTATTTATATTTTGAGCTTCTCCTATTAGAGAAACCATGTGATATCTGAGCTTGTGTGTCTGACTTATGTCACTTCACACTGTGGTCTCAGAGTTACCCATTTTCTTACAAATGACTTAATTTTGTCTTTCTTTATGACCAAGTAGTACTTCATTGTGTGTAAATACCACATTTTCTTTATCTGTTCATCTGTTGATGGATAGATATATAGGCTTCTTTGAAGATCTAGTTATTATGAAATGTGCAGCTATAAACAGGCATTCATCACTACAATATGATCCCTTTAACTATTTCAGGAAGATACATAGAAGGGGAGTAGGTGCACCAAATGAATTTTCTATCTTTGTGGGGCGGTTTTTTGAAGAATCTTCTCACTGGTTCCTATTTTTATAGTGGTTTATAATTTACCAGTTTACATTCCTACCAACAAACCTGCAGCCTCACCAGCATTTATGTTTGTTTTCTTGCTTGTACAATTTTTTTTAATATTTATGTATGTATTTATTTTGTGTGTGTGTGTGTGTGTGTGTGTGTGTGTGTGGCCAGCTCAGCCCACCAGGGGTGGGGCTGGCTGGCATGTGGTGCTGGGGGATTGAACCACGGTCCCTGTGCTTTGCTTAGCTTAAGCTTGTTCTAAGTAGGTGCTTTAGACCACTGAGCCATCTCACCAGCCCCTTGCTTGTACAATTCTTGATGAGAGCCATTCTTTCTGGAGTAAGATGGAGCATCAATTTTGTTTTAATCCATACTTCTATGATGGGCAGAGATGATGGACTTTTATTTCATGTATTTATTGGCCATTTGTGCTTCTAAGAAGTATCTGTTTTTCTGTTGCCCATTTTGATTGGGCCCTTGGGGGGTGATTGTTTTTAAAAAATTCTTTGTAAATTCAAGATACTAGTTCCCTATCAGAGGAGTAACATTCTCATCCCTGGAAGTCAGAGTTCCAAGGAGCAGGCTGGGGAAAGATGAAGGATTCATGTACCATCCCAAAGCTGGCAGAGTCCAGTGACAACTGTGTCAGGTTTTTTGGCACAGCAGAGAAGCAGAAGTAAAAGAAAGAGAGGGAAACGCCCTTATTGCCACTGAGGAGGACACAGAGAGGATCAAGGGAAGGGAGGTGGGGGACCCTCTGACCTGAGACAGGAAGGCTGAGACTTCACAGACTTTTGCTGGGGGCAGAGTTTGAGGGGCAGGTTCAGTGATGCGTAAGGAGCTGATAGGGCTCATTGTGTGCGCAGGAAAGATATCGGATCTGGGATGGTGAAGAAGGAAGAAGTGGACATTGGGAAGCTAGGCTGTTGTTTTGGGGATTCAGCTATGTTGAATCAGGGACATGACAATTTAACAGTCTGTACTTAGGCCCGAACCTATCAAACTCCAGTTCCCATTGCCCTCTGGGTCACAGCTTTGGCTGTAGTCTAGGCCTCATTATTCCCTCCAAAGTGGGCATTGCTTCATTTGCAATAGAAACATTTTAATATCCTCAGTGTAACTTTGGTCAAGGGAGTAGTACTGAGGGTTGAACCCAGGGCTTCACACTGCACTATGTCCCTATCCCTTTGTTACTCTGAAAAAGGATCTCACCAAGTTGCCCAGGGTAAGCTCCACTTTACAATCCTGCCTCAGCCTCCCAGAGTGCTAGGATCACAGGCATATACCACCATATCCAGCTTTGTCTGACTTTTGATATCTAAATTCAAATGTCTTCAGAGTAATACTCAACTGATGGATTGAGCCACATAAAATTCCTGACACCAAACTATTTTTATATGCAAAAGTTAGAAATTCCATATGGCTCGGCCAGTTATTTTACTAACCCAGATGTCCAGCAAAGTACGGTTGTTTCTTGCCACTTTTTTTTTGAACGCTCACCTGGGCCAGTATGTGCATCCCTGAGTGAAATGCGACCCATACCCATCACACCGAGCCCCTGCTGTGGTGCAGAGTGAATCGATAATTCAGCCTTGTTAGCCCCTCTGCATGATACACTGCCTAGAATCACAGCCCTGCCAGCCCAGGTCTCCTCAAGGCAGTGGGACAGAAAGCAGGGATAGAATCAATTGCGAGGAACCAGTTCTTGGGGTGGAAGAATCATTTTTTAAGTGTAGTTTGCCTAAGCATTCAAATATGGGTTTAATTTTATCGAGCTTTAAACAATTTTCTCCAGTTTTTCCAAGATAGCAAGATTCTGTAAGCTGGTAATTGACATTTTGGATCCTGTTCATAGTTGTTCTCTTGCTTGTCTGGCCAGCATGTTCTTACAGTTTGCAGAATGCTACTTTGGCAAGTGGACATTTTCCTGTGTATAGAAAAGACAGAACCCTGTATGAGACCCCTCCTTTCCTGATAGGGAGGTAGCCAAAGATCTTTGG